ATCATAATCTTCTCAGATGGAATTGTCAACTAGGTGAATCTAGTTTAGGTCAGTTTCTTGGCAATTGAACTCTAACGATGAGATTTTCTGACCTTAAACAAACACCAGGATTATAACAGGTTGTCCTCAGCGAGCTTAAGAAATGGAATTCGTTTACTCAACAAAAAAATATATAATGTATGTATATAATAAAGCTGAGCTATTCCGCTAAAGCAATTAGTTATAGAGGAAACTCGAAAGCCCTAGCTTTATGAATAGATTATATTCAAACTATGACATTGATTGGGTACTTGACAATTCGGTGTATGCTCCACTATGATTGTCAAGTCAAAGACTTTGTGACGACATGAATCCTTCAGCTAGCCTGATAAAGGTAATTATAATATATATACAATTAAGCTTGAGTTGTCCCTCTAGAGCAATTGGTTAAACGCCCGACTTTATGAATAAGATTCAACTAGCCAGATAATGGTAAATTAAATTAAATCAAAATTACTAAAAAAGAGTTTCGGTGAATATGGACTAAGGGAGTTGAGGAACACCTGTTATAGTCGAACTCACACGAGCACTCAAAAATCTCATTTTTAGATAGATATTTCTACACTACCTTGACTAGGTGAGTCTACGAAGCTTGAACAAATGAAAGATTTCAGAGAACTGAAACAGAAGTGTTCTGAAAAGTTTAGCTATTGACTATGCTAGTTGTGTCATTTTGTTCGCCTCCAATCAAAGTGTCAAATCAATAAAGAGTGGCAAGCCATAATCTCCCATGTGACTGAATCGATGAAACAAACCCTAGAATTTAGGTTACTAAACCAACTTTTTCGATCTTGATATTTGTTAAAGATTTGCAGCTATCAAAGATTAAAATAGCAGTTAATTCTTTGATATCCAATGAACTCTTGTTTTATGATTTGCTTCAATTGTGAAATTAGGAGGAGACAACATTTTCAAAATTCCTTTTGATATTTTTCAAAAATATCAAAAGGAATTTTGAAAATTTAAAGGAGGAAAAGCATTTTCAAACAAGATAAGTTCTCTAGAAGTATCTTGGAATTCAACAAATATCTCTCCGAGGCTCAAGATTGAACCTGGGGCAAAGGAAGCCAATTTTTTTGGGCTAAATTTGAAGGGGAAAGGAAAACAAATTGTCTCAGGTTGAGGTTTGCAATAGTACACCCTAGTGGAAATGAAGACAAATTGAATCAAGGATAGAGTAAAGACTACTATCGCAACCATTCTCCTTCCAGATCAAGAAAACATACATCAATATAAACATACATCAACACATACATACATAATACATGAAATGTGTATCGTTGCATCAAACAATCATTATTATGTGCATCAAAGATATTTTTCTCTTCTCTTGAGGACAAACTCAATAATCCATCAAACTAAACACATCAAATAAATTTCATCTTGACATCCATCATGACATCCAAGATAGTCAGTAAAAAATGCATCATTTCAATCTTTCAAGAAATAAAAGCTTAGAAATGACCACAACCTGAAAGAGCAATGACATCCACATATTTGACTTCCTGAAGTCAATAATCAAATATACTGAAGATATTTCCCCAACATGAAGAAGCAAGAAGACTGTCTATCACCTTTGAAGGTGTTTTTCTAAAAAATAATTTTTGTCTCACTTGAGACAATTTCTCAAAACAAATTTCATTCCGCTTGAGACATTTTTCCTTTTAGATACAAGTTTTGAGTTTGTTTTACATAAAACAAAGTTGATCACCTTTGAAATTGTTTCTTTGTAAACAAAGTTTTGTCTTTCTTGAGACAGTTCCTTGAAAAAAAATCTTTGAGTATGTTTCACTTGAAACAAATTTTATAATCTTTGAGTCAGTTTCTCTTGAAACACCCATCTATGACATCATTTCTCTTGAAACGAATTTTGTCTCTTGAGACATTTTATTTTGAAGGATCATCTTTGAGTCGTTTCTCTTGAAACAAAAGTCTTGAAGTCTGTTTCTTTGGGGGGAAATTAAAATCTTTGGGTATGTTTTCATTGAAACATAACAATCATCTTTGATATCATTTCTTTTCAAAAAAATATTATTTTCCTTGAGATTGTTTCTCATGAAACAACAAATATCTTTGAGATCATTTCCATTGAAATGAATTTTATCTCTCTTGAGACAACTTCTCTTGAAGCATCATCTTTGAGTCGGTTTCTTTTGAAACCAAAATCACCATTAGATGACCAGATATCTTTAACACAGACAAGCAGTGTCGTCTTAAACATCAAATTGACATGATCTCTTCATCGCGTATGAGCAGTGTCATCTTCAGATAATCAGACTTTCTCATCACAAAGGAACTGTATTGTCCTCAAATTATCTCCTGATTGACCCGATTTCCTCAACGCGAATGAACAACTTCATTTACCCAAAAACGACCAGATCTCTTCAACACGGATCAACAGTGTCGTCTTCATAATCAAATTGACCTAATCTCCTCACCACGAAGGAGCAGTGTCATTTTCAGAAAATCAGACTTCATCATCACGAAAGAACCGTATTATCCTCAAATTATCTCCTGATTAACCCGATTTCCTCAATGCGAAGGAACAACGTCATTTACTCAAAAATGACTATATCTCTTCAACACGGATGAGTAGTGTCATCTTCAACATCAAATTGACCCGATCTCCTCAACATGAAGGATCAATGTCATCTTCAGACAATCAGACTTCCTCATCACAAAGGGACCGTATTGTCTCCAAATTATCTCTTGATTGACCCGATTTCCTCAACTCAAAGGAACAACATCATCTTCAACAAATAATTTACCTCTAAAAATAATGTTGTCAACAAACAATGATTATTCAAAGAAAGGGGAGCCAATTAAAGAAGAGCTTTCTCAACCTCAACTGATGCATTTAAAAAAGAGTGAAGAGCTCGAGACTTGTTGACAGTCCAAAACTTGGTGTTTTATTTCTTTGATCTATTCCTTTTTCACAACAATGAGCAAAGAGGGGCAGCTATAAACACCAATTTTTGTCCCCACCCATACTCATGTTGCACAACACCAATTCCACCAACTCCACTAATGTCGCACCAACTCCATTAATGTTGCACACCACCCATGCTTGTCAGCCACCAACACCTCATCCATGACGTGCCAGCAGCTCCCATCCTATGCTCATGAAGCTTTTTTCCATTTTTTTATAATTTTGTAATGGGTATAAAACCCGTGAATGAAGCAATGTAAAACCAGAACGATAACAAGAAAAAAAGATTCGAAAAAAGCAATACAAAATACCTAAAAAGACCAGATTCAAGCATTTTTCATATTTTTATTAAAGGTATTTCAACTTTTTTGCATGCATATTTCATTTTCGAATAATATAAAAAATTTAGAGAAGAGGTTAAAGCTTACCTTGATGGTGGCCGAGAGAAATAGGGTCGTCGTTCCATGGTGGCTCTCGGGTTTGGGGTTTGGTTAAAGGAGAAAAATAAGGTTTTTTGGTTCTATTTGGGGGGTTTTTTGGGTTTGATATAGGCTAGAATAGAGGAAGGAAAACTTCTAGGGGTGCTTGTCAGAGTAAATCTGGCCACCATGGCGGTGGCCGGCCGGATTTCGGGCTTTAGAAGAGGTTTGGCCTTGGAGAAAGTGAGAGGAAAAGAGAGGCATTGAAGGAGATGATATTTGGGTGTAAACGGCTAGGGTTTGATTTTACCCAAATTAGCTAAAAAAATTGATATTTATAAAACAAAAACTGGTAAAATTACACTTAAGCCATTCCGTGTTTGACGTGTTTTATAAAACAGTCACTAAACTCTTGCAGTTAATTGCTTTGAGGCCCTCCCAATTCTATCGTGTTTTTTACACATTGGCCACTGAATCATTGCGTTTAATAACGTTTAAGTCCCTCTAATATTACCGTATTTTTTACATTCCATTCCTTGAATCCCTACTTTTTGTTTATTTCATTTTTAGCATTTCAGTTCCGTTATTTGCTACTTTAATCACTAATAGGCTTTAATTGCAGCTTTATTTATTTATGATTTAAGACACTTTACTTTTTATTATTTTATTTTTTCCACTGACTTGCTGACATTTGTTTTATTTTATCATTCGAACTAACATTCTAACTTTATTTATTTTTATTATTGTATTATCTTTTCGACAGTAGTTAATTTACTAACATTTTATTTTTATTGTACAACTAATCCCCTAACTTTTAGATTTAATGCGATTTATGTTCGTATATTGTTTTATTATTTGCACCTTATTTTCTATACAAATCATTATTTGTTTTCTTACCTATGTAAATAAGAAAATTTTATTGTGAAGGAAATTTGATTGTGAGGGAAGTCTACGAAGACATCTCCCAACTAAAGGGAATGTATCTTTTCGAGGATTTTTATTATTTTTCCCATATTTCTATTTTTTATTTTGCTTTATTTTAGTTTATTTTATTTCATGAAAAATATGAAATAATGCTATTTTGTGAGGGGAATCTATGAAAAAGTCTCTTAACTATAAATGAAGTGCATTTTCAAGGATTGTTCGTACAAAATGAAGTATTTTCAAGAATAATTATAATATTTTTTTCTCTTCTATGAAATATCTTTTGAGCTATTTAAATCTTTTTGACCTAATACATTTCTTATTTTAAGTTGTTTTTATTTATTTATTATTGACACTTATTTAAATAAAATTGAACAAATGGAAGGATCATAATTTAAATATATTTTCGAAGTTTGTAATTCACAATATTTAAATAACATATAATCGATTATGTACCAAAATCTTGGCGTTGTGGGGTGTTCACTTTTCCCTGCACGTAACCGACTCCCGAATTCTTAAAAATGAATCTTTGGTAAAACGCATATCATTTTTGTCGTTTATGGTTTCCAACATACTTAACTTAAAGGTTGGTGGCGACTCCAAAATCAATTTGTTTTCAAATCGAATTTATCATTTCCCCAAAACCTAAATTTTCAAGTCTAACGGATCCCCGCGGAAACGTTATGAGAATATGAATATGCACAAAATAGAATTAGACATGGTTTTTGGAGTCGCATTCTTTTGTCTTACACATCCTATTTCTTTCTCTTCCCATATCCTAGCTGGAGCTTAAGCTCGGACTAGGGGGCACATCATATGCAGATTTCATCGGGAGTTTACATCTGCCAATGCAGTTGAGGTATGATCAATCTTCTTGGTTTGTAGCGAATCATTGTTTTATTATTTGGCATAACTTGAGCTCTGTTGTTGATTGCTACCTTTTTTACCATGATAAAGTCAACGTCCTTTTGATTTCCTATGTTTCTTTTGGTTATACTCCTAGATTCTGCAATTGTCACAAACCAAACTTATGAAATATACTATATTTACTTAGAAATATTGATGGGGAATTAATTTCTTGGAGAGGTTCGCTTCTAGAAAGAAGTTGCATCGGTTAGTTGTTTTCAATTTAATAAGCCTGTGGATGCAATTTTGTTTCACTTTTGGTATCATTAAACACCATTCCGTTGGTGGTAAATGCAGTCAGGTCGATCCTATAGTAGCATCCTTCTCTGGAGGAGCGGTAGGTGTAATCTCAGCCTCGATGGTAGTTGAAATAAACAATGTTAAACAGCAGGAGCATAAACAATGCAAGTACTGTCTTGGAACAGGTATATTCTTTAGACTTTCCTCTTTTTTCAGGCCTTCTATATTCCATGTACGGTATTTTATTCACCTAGACCTGTCAATTGGGCGAGTTGGGTTAGTTTTGGGTTGGTTCAATTCAGATCAGTCAATTCCGATATTAAGATTTTTTGGATCATTTCGGCTTGAGTTCGGATCTTTTGGGGTTTGGATCCATTTTGGATTCCTGTCATTTCGAGTTGGGGTTGTTTTGGGCTCAAGTCATTATAGTCAGATCATTGCGGTTCTAGTCACTTCAGGTATGCGTTCGTCTGGGTTGAGATTTGATAGGTCTATATGCACTGGTAAATGAAGGATATCTTGCTTGTGCTCGCTGCTCAACTACTGGATCAATTGTTCTTACTGAACCAGTCTCCACTGTAAACGGACGAGACCAGCCTTTATCATCATCTCCCAAAACCAGAAGATGTTCAAACTGTTCGGGATCCGGAAAGGTTAGTCATCTAAACATATGTAGTACCAATGATTTGTTTACTTGTGCTGATCAACCAGGAAATCTAGTGATGTTCATTGTATAACTATCTTTGCCGGATATAGCTTTCTTTGACATCCATAGTACGTCTTCTCATAACCGTTTCTTTTTGTAACTCCCGGCAGGTGATGTGTCCGACATGTCTTTGCACCGGAATGACAATGGCAAGCGAACACGACCCACAAATCGATCCATTTGATTAGAGATGCATGCTCACGTCTTATTATTTGCTTCAAATGTAAAATCCATCTATGCATCTATTTGTCACAACTCACAATATGACCAGTCTTTTGTACATACAAACATCTCAATAGGCTTTCCTTTTCTACAAATGGATTTTATTTGTACCATTTCGTTTCTTTATGTTCACAAACAAATCTGTTTAATCTTATACAATAATTATTAGTAGGGTGACGTACACAAATGGTCTCTAGCTATAAGATGTTGTTTTATTGAGTATCTGATTATTAAAAATTAAAAAAATGGTATTCGATTACAGGGTGATACTTTATTGAGTCTCCAACTATTAAAAGTCAAAAAATGATTACTTGACTATTCATATGTTCCAAACTCGTCATTTTTCGTTAAAAGTTTAATGATTGTCTGATATGGACATTAACTAGTTGGTTGAAATATGATAAAATCGTATTTTAATGAGGCCTATTAACACTGTCGTCGTTTTCAAGCATTAGTTCGATAACATAATATTTTAAAATCTAACTCGATGACAAAATATAAACAATTATGTGATCCACAAAATACAATTTAAACAGTTAGGGAATCAATTTTTTTATCATATTCTAGTGAGTAGGTTAATTTTCAACTAAGGCCGTCTCCATTTTTTAACCTAAAAGGATAAATTTGTAATATATGAATAGTTTAGTGACTATTTTATAAATTTTAATAATCGAGATACTCAATAAAATAATGTCTTACAGTCGGAATATGATTTTGTAACTTTAAATAATTAAGGGACTCAATAAAATAACGTCTTATATTAAAAATCATTTGTGTACTTTATCCTTATTATTATTCGATATATACCGTGTAGTTATGCAAATAAACGGGAATCTTGTACTTATATTTAATTAACTTCAATAACAAGTGATACCAATAAAAGTATATATAATTTTCTCTATTTCAATAACCCTCATATATATATATATATGTATGTATTTACTTTCATGTTTATGTTTTCTGAGTTTTTCATGTACGATGCAATCACGATGATCGGAGACGAAACACAAGAAGAATATGGAAAGAAGACTCGATTGGTTCGGTAGAGGTGTAAATTCACAGCGGAGCGAATGAAATCAAACTGTTTGGGCTAAATTAACAAAATAAATAAAACGTTTGAGTTGATTTTTAAAATTTGGACTACATTAAAACAAAATATAGAAATCAAGAATCAAAGCTAATTTTAGTAATTACCACGTTATCATTCTTTTAATGGAAAACGACGAACTAAATTTCTTTAAGTCTAATGATTTTATTATTTTTTATACGAAATATTTAAATTATTTTATTTGTTGATTAAATTATCATCGGTATAATATAAATATAGAGATGAATATTTGATTCGAATCTAACAACTTTTGACCTAATCTGATTTTATAAGCTTATTAAAAAAAAATCAGGTTTGAGATTTTTTTGAATAATAAGATCAACTCGAATTTAGATTTAAGGTGAAATTTACTCAACGTGATTAAACAAAATCCGATAATAATAATAGTATATTTGACCTTTATGTATTTAGAGATATTTTTTATAATACATCTCTATATTTTTTAATTAGATTTTTATTTTATATAATAAAATGATAATTACATATACATGAGACATGATTTATTCACACCGTATAATTTTTTTAAGGTCATTAGATGAGTAAAAATAAAGAATTAAAATTAACAATAAAAAATGAAAACATATTCATAAAAGAATAATGATAAAATTTCTATCGTTTATATTCACCAATCTAACGATCTTAAAAAATTATAAAATTAAAATTATGCATTCTAACTATTATATATATATATATAAATAATATTTATGAGGGTGAGTCAAATGCAAATTTTTATAAAAAAATAATTGAGTTTTAAGTTCGGTAGAATTTTTTTGAACCCCTATAAAATAACTAATAAAAGAATATAATATTTGAATCATATTGGAGTGAATCAAAAATTCAACTTAATTTAAATTATAATCATTCATACAAATATATAAAAATATAAGATTGAGCGTATTTAAGCGATGACTACACATTCATAGTATCAATCAGTGAATTGACACAGATTCCTATAAAAATTTCCGATTTTCCCGCTTACCCAGTTAATTCAAATATTTCATTCCCCCCTTTTATTTTGGAAGCCACCGACGAGCCACTCCCACTATTAAACCCTTCATTTCCTCAGCTGCCGAAGCCGTTTCCCTCCTCCTCTTTTACCATAACTCTTAGCTCAACCACTCGAACCGGCGCCAGTTCACCGGAGTAGTTCTCCGGGACTTCGTATATACTGGTCTGAATCCATAGAGTACCGTCGTTTTTGGTCAAGCATTCTTCTTTGTCATTCCAATCGGTCATGCCTGGCACGCGGAAAACTTCTACTAATCTTACGGAGGAGACCGGTTCGGTCAAGAAACCTACTCGGTCAAGCCAGAGAAAACGAAACACCATGTCGAAGCCGGAAAATGACGAAGCCATCGGTATCATTGAAGATGAAAGCAGTGAAGTACCTCGTGGGGGTAAGCGCAAGACAAGCTCTGTCTCTGGAGTTGTTAACACCTCCAAGAAGTCTAAACCGAGTCTGGAGAAAACGGCGCCGTCCAATTCGAACAATGACGAATCTGTGCTCCATGACGGTAGTGAGAGCGAAGGCCAAAAGCCGACGACAAATTTGAAAAAGCCGAGAAAAAAAGTCGTTGTTGATGGTGACGCCGACGGGGAAGCCATGTTTATTGGAGAAAATGTTGCTGATGAGGATGCTAGACGGCGATGGCCCAAACGCTATCAAGGAAAGGTATACGCATCATATCATTTACATTTTTGAAAAATGTTGAATGCTTTAAAATTTTCTTATTTGTTGATCTTTACTTCTTCTGTCATTAGGGAGCACAACGAGTTGTTACAAAGATTTCGAACGAGTAAGCAAATGCATTTTTCTATAAGTAATTTTCGTTTCAATTTTTATTATATTTCATTTATTATCTAATTAAATTAAAGTGTGTTTTTTTTCTAATAATAATATTCTTCTTCTTATTAATTTCTGGATAATTGAAGTTTCTTTTATCCAAAAGAACAAGTGGTGTCACAAGAAGACTAAAAGGAATTACAAAGAAACTCTTATGCAGTAAAACCCCATCCCCTTATTGCATCAGTAGAACTATTAACCAGGACCCTACTCGAAGTTATTTTACTGGCACTTACCGATTTTCTTTCCAAGAACAGAATCTCAAACTTCCTATGATTGATTGTTAATAGGGGTGAGTATTTGATCGAGTTGAGTAAAAAAATAATTGTGTTCACAGGTTATATTTTATAACTCAAATTTTATTTAGATTTTTTTTGAATCCAATTGATTTTATAAAATTTGTGTGTTCCGAGTTTTGGTTTTTGTTTAAATTTGATCACAAATAGAGGTACAATACCCAATTTTAAAATCAATATACTAATTGTTAAAAATTTCAAGTTATTTGAGTTATTCAAGTTTTATTTGAAGTTTTTTATACGATTCCAGTTTATAAAATTAAAGTTGAATTAAAATAAAATACTCAATTTCTTTTCGTTAGTTGAGTTTTCTCTCTAATTTCTAAGATTTATACTTTTATTTATTTCTTGTCAAAGCTCATAGATGTGAGAATTCCTGTCAATTCTAACTAGAGTAGACATCAGTGATTTTTCTTTTCCATGCTTAAAACCCCAATAAGTCATCTCCTGACAAGACTAAAATAACCAATTTGTACAATTTGCCTCCATGGCAAGACTCTACTGTTGCTTTTCATAAGCGCATTCTGAAAAAAATATGGCCTGGTTTCATCAGAATCATCACACAAACTACATTTTAAATATACATGGAGGTTCCATCATACTTACCTTTCCCTCGTTGGTAGCGTCTTCAGAACAGCTGACCAAGATATAAAGGAGTTCCTTGGGATAGCAGTGCCTCCTCGGACCACTTTATACCAAGGGACTTCACTTCACCTCTTTCTTATCACCTCCCATACTTCGTTAGCTTCGAAACAATCTGGATTTGGGTTCATCTTCTGCAGCAAGCGTGAGTTTTAGTAGTTTTTCCCATTACCAGCTATGCCCTTGTCTTGCTTGACAATCGCATAAGAAATTACCTTTGAGAATGTAGGCATTCACCCATGCAATCCATATAGAATCTGCCATTGAGCAAAAGCCACTTTTTTTTTATCATGCAAGATCGATTCCATTCATGGATATCTTTTAACTCTAAACTACCGTCAGCCTTGGGAAAACAAGCGTTTTGCCAACTAATTCTTGCCTTCGGAGCAGAACCCTCTTACCTTTCCACACAAAAAAAGGCTGAACACAGACTGGTAACTCTTTTCTGCATAAAAACAAGATAAAAAATTTGGCTTTTCAGGTGAAAGAGGTTAATGTTTATATCTGCATGAATAGTAAATGGACAACTTTTCATGGAAACATAAATGCGAATAGTTTTTGTCCCGACATTTTAGTTTTTTAGAAATATAACTTTTTGCTATAGTTTTCATAATATGTATCCTTAGCCTTTCAATATATTTTGTACAGCGGCTCTGATCCAGAGGTTATTATTCAAGCTCGAAGGCACTATACACAGGCAAAAGTGGATGGTTGTGTGATATACAACCTTTACGATGACGCCCATGTCAAAGTCAGTATATTTTTCTTATTTATTGTTTATTGTGTTTTTCTAAGTTCTTTTACAATATTTTAAATCTGCCTCATGTGCATTTGTTTGATTGAATGTTAGATATTCAGTAGTTGCAATTTTAGTTGATTGATTGTTATCAATCCTTCTCAAGATTTTATCATCCCTGGAAATTGGATATTGTTTAGGATCTATTATGATTAAACATAATTTTCCCCCATATCATTGTGCAAGGTGCCAGACGATATTCAATAACTGGTAGGCCTGGCATGTTTAGTATACTTAGCACTTGTTATTCTGGATTCTTTTTATAAATGGTTAGACCTTTGAGTAAGGGCGCTAGGGATCTATTCATAGTGATATGCTTAATCATTTTGTCACAAAAGTTGTTCATGGTGAAAGAAGATTGTTCTAGACGTGAGCCAAGAGCATACCTTTTTTGTGTATGCAAATATTTGTACTTGATTCA